GAGTGACCGACAAGGAGACACCCTTAATGTAGTTAGCATCACTAACTGTAGAAGTTTGCACTGGCAAGCGTTCAGATAGAACAAAGAAGAAAAGCGTGTGTTACGTGACATAAGTTCGGTGGATTATTTAATAAAGAGGGAGTGTCCAATCACATTATGAAGAAAACCTCTTATGAAGCTCTTGAATATCAGTCATAGCGAGTTTAGTCATAAGAATAATGTGGTTAATTTTATCAAAAGCCTTACTATAATCAGTATAGATGACATTGACAATCGGTAAACAGTCGATGGTTACGGTAGCGTAATTATTCTCAGCCTGTCAGTGAATGGACAATGGTTAATTACTCCATGAATACGGTCCAAGGAGATTTCAATTGTAGGTAATAAATAAAAATCGTTAGAGCAAAAAAAAACAATCACGTCAATCTTTACATACAAGTCCTGCTATTTTTTATGAGGGTAGAAAATTAAACAATGAAATCCGAAAATTGAATTAATTACAATAAAAAAAATTACAATTTAAAATGTAAATTTTGAAATAAAAAAGGGTAAGAAAGAAGAAAGAAAGAAAGAAAGACGTAAAATTATTTTTTTAACGGGTCGTGGTAACGGGCCTTAATGAGAAATATCTCCATATAAAAATTATGTGCAAAGTTAGATACCTTGTTCTTAAATAATTCGTTTTAAACTTTTATTTTAACCTGTTTTCGGGATTTTATATGATCGAGTAAAGTACATCCCATCGTCTAATAAATTAGCACATTCTTTAGACAACATGCTTAGGTGTATCGTATATTTTTTATAAAATCGTTATTTAACAGTAAATTCCCAAACCACCAGTGGAGTTTTAAAAACTCTGCAAAACTATCTTTTGAACTCCCTATTGCACTTACGGATACTCACGAAATAACACCGTTTAATAAAACGAAAACCGTATTCAGAAGTGGGATGTATTGTTACAGTATTGTAGATCATAAAAACAATTTATTAATTAATTAAAAAATGGTTTATTGTGCTCAAAGTTTTAGTGAACATATTAACACTATTATACATATTCTAACGACACATACACAATACATAATACGCTATCGATATTTTTATAAAATTCTTTAAGAACTTAAATTCACAGCCATTAATAAAATTTATTTAAATTAACTACTTTAAACTAATGTAACTAACTAATTTTTGCTAAAAACGCACATTTTCTCAAAGATGTTCGGAAATCTTGAAGATAGATTTTAAAAAAGAATAAATGGTCATGGATATTAAATATTTTGAGGACCGCTAAAAAAAGATTGAATCATAACAACAATGTCCACATATACCAGAACGTTGTAATTTGAAAAAAAGAATGTATTACAACCATTGACTTACAATTATACGGACGTCGGGTCCGCGCTAAAAAGTGTCCGCACTTGTAAGGCGCTAAAATCGTATACAGAGCGCGACACTCCGCTTTAGTCTTCATTTGTTCTACGGACAGCGCGATACTGCGATGACATAACAATTTAAATTTCGAATAGGTTGACTTGGGACATTTTTTTCGTGGTTTCTGTATTAGACCCGTCGTCCATTTATTTGTAAGTCAATGATTACAACCGTCTTTTAATTTCGATTAAACATTCTGGCACATTTCAAACGCAAAATAGGCGCCTGGTCGTCGAGTTGCGGACTTACACCATGCTATACACCATTACTATTCTTTATTATTCCATTAATATGGTGTTCTCATTGTTATGCCAATTGCACGCGTATGTAACCCAAAACTTACTTTACAAAAGACCAAAGATTAAGTCAGAGATTCAGAAGAGTTTTAGTAGCTGTAGAGCTGTGGAGCACTTCACATATTCTGCCGCGAAGCGGTAATATGAGCATTATTGCTATTCGGTTTTGAAGGTACGGGTGCTGGTGAAATTACATGCGCATGATACTCAAGTCATGTCTCAGGGTGACGGGCACAGAGGCAGTGTCTTTGCCTGAATTAACGATTATTTATTTATTTCCTCGCATTCTTTGAGAATAGTACGTTATGTACCCCGACGAAAATGGCATTTGCTGAACTCGTAACTTGGAAGACCTCTCGTCCAGCAGTTGCTTATTTCACATTCTCCTGTGTAATTTAAGGCTAAATTTGTAAACTACGTAACCTCCATTAATATGAACTTTTGTGTAGGCGCAAAAATTATATGATAATCTAGAAATATAAATTTATTTTATAACTAAAAGAAGGTCTAACATAGTTATTTATTATGTAAGGCTGCAAAGTTGTTGTTTGACGGGAGTGTTTGTATGAAAACCTGACTCGTGGTTCAAAAATGGAATCCTGAGCGTAGCGAGGGTTTCAAGACACGAGACGCAAAACAACTTTGCTGCCGAGCGAAACACACAACTTTTCACCTCACTATAGCGAGGGAAGTGGTAGATGAATGAAAATCAGTTGAACTATTACAGATCAGTTTTAATAAACAAAGTTAGTTATCGTTGTCAATGTAATGTCAACAATAATAAGAATAAGATTTATATTACATAAATAATGTATGACAAATCGCGTAGTTGAACGCGTCATTACATTTTTTTTATGGAAATAAAAAGTTAGGTGCACCACAGTCCATCGTCAAGTTCGAATTTTATAAACCTTTTCCACGTGGAAAAACGCGCGCAGTTTTCTAATGAGAAAGAAATCCCTTTCCGAGCTAGTGACATGAAAATTATATTTTAAGCTTTAATTGCCCGATTTTGAGCTTGAAGAGTAAAAAGTTCTTTAATAAACGGAGTTACGAGGTTTTCAAATTTAGCCTGATGGAACAATACATTAAAAGTACTTTTATCAATAACGTGATTTAGATACGTATTGTAAATATATATGCATACGTCATACAATATTTTATTAGAAAAAAATCATTCAAGGACAACGTAACATTTTTTTAAGTAATAGGAATAAAACCGCTTCATGGTTATTTAATAAATATCGCTCAATCGTTTTTTTTCCGAGCAAAGAATATACAACGATAAGTCTCATAAATTATTGCCTACAAGTAGGTACTTAACCAATGAGAAAGTTTCCTTTATAATTCCACCAATACAATTTATTAAAACTTTTTATGGAGCTACGATAAAATTGTTTTACGCTTATCATATACACAATAAAAAAGTGATCACTTCCAGTAACTGAAGAATAAATATGGAATACTCCTTGATCATCACTTTCACATCGAAATCACATCGATTCTGTATCTGGATAAGACAGAAGAGAAAGAAGTGCAACAGCAGGCTTAGCATGACCACGAAGAAAAAGATTTATCTTCTACAAGCTGTCAATGTACTACTACAAATGACGTCAATAGAGGTCTTTACACACACATATACACACTCTCTTTTGCGCGTGATAAAGCAATCGTGCGGGATTGAGCGCGCGTGTAAAGATATTGGAAGAAAAAGAGATTGTACTCATCAGTCGCGCGCGCAAAAAGTTGCCTTGTACAAGGACGCTCTCCCGTTGTAATAAAAAGGAACACGAGCACACGCGCGCAAAAGAACGTTAGCTTAAAAAAACTTCAAACAGGTAATCGCGCACTCCTGTACGCTCCTGATCACTCGCGATAGAGTGAGTGTGTAAAGGGGCTAATAGAGTTATGTAATAACGCTACAGTGATACCACAGTAGACAAGACAAAAGATTCTCAATTCCAGCAAATTCTATGTATTTATAGTAGCAGTAGAGCCATAGTATATTAATTAGACACTTGTCTAATATATATAGTGCGGGTCATCTCACGCATTATTCATTATAGAATTTAACCGATCGCTCATTGTTTAACAAATTACAACAAATAGTAGACGTTTTCATTGTTGTGTTTAATAATTGTTTGGACAAGAGTATCTCAGATCCAAAATTCTTCCGCTTTTAACTTCTATGATACAATCATACCCCCATCATTGATTGATTACCTTTTGTTTTTCAAATTATGTTCACAACTCGTAGGCATAATTAATAATAATGTGACAACCCTACAAACGACATTTAGGCATTTAGGCGTGAAACAGGCGGGATTTGAATTGCTTTTTGGGGACATTGTATACTATGATAGAGTTTTTTATGACAGAGTTCGTTCAGGAAAGTACTTCTGAAGTCATTACTAATATTTTGCGATTAAAGCTCTTACGCGACGGTCACGAGCCGCGAAGCTCCTAGCAAATTCGCTTATTGCTACAAACGTCAGCGTTGAACATCAATTACACAAGTATATGACTTTATTTATAATAGGTCACAAAGTAGCGCTGCAACTGGCAGCGAATTTCGCTTCGAGCGAACTTGCATGAGCGTTACGCGTGTTTTTTGCGGGCGACCAGAACAATTATATGAGAAAGTTCCATAGTGTGCACGACACTGTCGATCCGTGGAACAGTGTTTGTAATACATATTTAAAATATATTCCACCAAAAATATTAACTATTTAATTCGTAAAAAGAGTTCTTGGTTTCCCCCCCACCACCGAAGACGCTGTGAGCAAATTATTTTGACGATAGGATGGATTTTGATGATTGAAAATTGAAACTTTCAGCTAATTACAGGCCCATGAGGCTTGTTAACTTATGTCTCAGGGTGATGGGCGCAGTGCCTTTTAAAAAAAAAATATGAAAAAAATTGACGCTTTAAGAGTGGTAATATTTTCGTTGATGAGTGGCGCTGCAATTGTCACTTGACACTCCAAAAAAACTGATGTTAAGCCTGCAGAGCTGCTTGGCAAAGCGGAAGACAGAGTAGCACAGATTTTAAAAACATTATAGTTACTCACTAATGATTTAGTATAACTGGTTACAGATTTTTACCACGATATCACTTATCTTCATTTTCTTTTTATATCAAAACGGTTACACGCACAGTGGTCAAAGTGATAATCATTCAGGAAACCAGTGTTAAGTGATCGATCATTTTTTTTTACCAGTATATTTCTTTTCAGTAGATCAAACGTTTCAATTTAAATTGATTAACAAAACTGTTTAACTAACAATACCAATGGTCTCTATATCTTTTGGATAGAAGAAGTTGTTCTTTCTCATTGGAATTGAAGAGATTTGCTGGTCAACTGGAACCCTGGTGTCGTAGAGAGATGGAGATTGGAATATGATGCCGAAGGTGCCCACGAAGCAAGCAATGGTGAACAGCCAGAGGAAGAAGCGGTCCAAAACCATGGACATGAACTTCCAGTCTTCTACCACCTGGGGACAAACAAGCAATTTTTACATTTTGTTAAGCATTGTCGATTTAGTTGTCCTATTGAATATTTTAGTACCTCTATAGTATTCACACTGTTACCGTAACTACAGTTAACTTAAGAACAGTGGCACATGTGCGCAGCTCATCCTTAGTCCGATAGTGAACTAAAAAATACTTGTGAATTTATAAGAAATCAGATTTGGACTTTATTTAAGGGTCATACTATGTACTCTTAGAATAGCGACAGATTTAGCGGAAAAACCGCTGAAATCATTTCCAAGTGCCGTATTTCCGGGTACTGTATTTCTTTCTAAGCATTGTTACTCATCACTATTTGTCCTTTAGTTTTAATATGTTTCACCAACTTGATATTAGCAGTGCTCGACACATATATATATCGATTTTCAAAGAATTTCGATATATGCCCTGGATATATCGAATCAATCTGATATTATCGTATCATTCGGTATCGCTATGTACTATAGATATAATTATTATTACAAAGACCGAACACTCAGAAAAAAATCGTTCGATCCGGCCGGATTCGAACCGACGTCTTCAAGCTTACCGTGTCAGACGCTATACCAACTAAGCCAAGGAACGAACCAGCGGACCTCACGAATTTTTCTATGTGCTTACGTCGTATCTTTATATTTGGTTTTTCAACGACTTTTTAGCCGTAGCGCCATCTATGAGAAATCTATGATATTTCGTCACTCAGATAGATACAGATATAAGTGTTGCAATCCCTCTAACAATAATACGGAAAATAACAATTTTTTCAATGTAAACATAATACGCAACAAAAGCTTTACAAACCACCGGCACACCGCCGCAAAAGTGCGCGCGTTGCAAGGAAATCGGTTCTACAGACTGTTCGGAATCAACATTATAATGTATCACTACATGTATGATTAAATGGAAATCCCTTCCGGAGCATATACTCCCTCCCTCTTATGATAAGGGATCCTTCAAACGAAGCAAAATTGGCATTGACTTACAATTATATGGACGTCGGGTCCGCGCTAAAAAGTGTCCGAACTTATAGGGCGTTAAAATCGCATACAGAGCGTCATTCACGCTTTAGTCTTCGTTTGTTCGACTGACAGCGAAGCAACAAAATTAGACAGTACTGCGATGACATTACAATTTAAATTCAACGTTTTAGCTTTTTCATATTCCTTTACATGTCACTACGTTTAAATAGGTTGACTTGGGACATTTTTTCGTGATTTTTGTATTAAACCCGTCGTCCATTTATTTGTAAGTCAATGAAAATTGGCATCAAAGTCGTTTAGTCTTTATTTCATAGGTAAAAGCACATTACATTTGAAATCGTCATACTGATTAAACTCCACTGCTCATTCGTTAGGCTGATTCCCCTGAGAAGAATGAGTATAAAATATGCATTTGAATACATTTATCATTTAAAATGTTTATTTCATACATTGCCAAACGGTTACGCAGAAGCTGTATAAGAACGGTAAATTTTGAATATCAACTGGAATCTTATTATAGAAGCGTATACATTGCCCCCTAAACGAGTTTGTGACTTTGTGAAGACGACTATAAAGAACAGCTAGTTTATTTTTAAACCTCGCATGATGGTATGACAGTCTCTATTTTTCTAAAAAAGTCTTAGTCCGTCAGTCAGGCCCAATCCGGATTTCACACGTCTACAACTTTTGTTTTAAATCTTTTAATTTTTTTTATTACTTAGTGATGGCACGACGAGGAAACAACTCGCCTGTCAATAACAGTTCCAGTGCCACTCACAGCTTTAAATTGCAAAGATCTTAGGGACAGTGCCACTGCGCCCGTCACAAATTCGTGAGACAAGTTGACAAGTTCCATGTGCCTGTAAATTCACCAGCACCCTTACCCGTCAAAACCGGATTGCATTAATGCTCGCATTACGGCTTGGCGGCAGAATTAGGTAAGGTGGCACACACACACTTCTTCTCGGTCTTTCACAACGAGCTCTACTGCTACTAATAAATTTGCCTTCTCTACTTCTAGTAATAAATCTACCACACATAATGCTCTCACGTTTACAAATGTACAATTATATCCATTTATAAACGAGAATTTAAATATTGGTTTCGCTCAGTATTTTTTTTTATATTTTCAAATCGTGTTTTCATAATTGCACAATTTGGAGTTACGACAGTAATTGACGTCGCGTGCGACGAATTTAACCAAGTGCAAGATCACGACCGTAATTTGAAATCGTTTAAACAAAATACACACAATAAATGTTCAATCTCAATATTCTTCAAGGAGGGAGCTTCGATTTCTCAGTTTGTTGGCAGCAATAATTTAAAAGTTTTTCGAGAAAATCCTATCCAATTTATGCTAAAGAGCCAATTTGAGGAGCGAGGCTTGTTTGCTTGTTTTCAAAGGAGACGGTAGATGGTTTAATTGGACTCAGTAACAATAAAAAAGTTTTTTAAAGGACATTTTTTCCGTGTCTAAAAGAGGCTTTGGGATAATAGAGGAAGCGTATCAAGGAACAATTTCCTACCAGAGATTAACCGTTTTGAAAACGATTAGCTACGAGGACAACATATTACAGTCTTCTTAAATTCTGTGCTCAAAGGTGACTTACTGGAATGGTGTTAACGCTGCAAATGCGCTCAGAGTTTTTCCCCGAACAACACGAGAATTAAATCTCTTTCTAGATAAGTCAGAAGAGAATTGTTGAGATGATGTCTAATTCATTTTAGAGCTTATATGCTTAGTTTTTACTATATTCTAATTTTCTAATTAGCTCCTTTAAAAAATCGAAATGGAAACACAGCACAAAAATTTCTAATGCTGGTAAAGTCTGTTCTATCCTCAACCAACCGCATTAGATCAGACGGAGGCAGACGTACAGAATTGAATTTTTTTTACCGAAAAGAAACCGACTTCAAAAGTACGTGGAATTACGTCTAGTTTTATTGAAATCGGTTACCGGAAAGTACACGAAATCCAATCCGTCCCATAGTTTGCCACCCTTAGGAGGTGGAGTATTTTCTTCAAAATTAAGTGGGATCAATACCGAGATACCCTCAAAAAAAGAATGATTAAAATCGTGTGCGGTCGCCACTCTAGAACTCGATGGTATCATCGGCTATCTCTTTCCAACAAAAAAAGAATCACCGAAATCGGTTCACAAAAGTTACACGATTACTTATATATGAGGCCCATTTACCTGAGGAGTTGCGAGAGACAGGTGGCCCTTATTTCGTCTCTATTTCTGGTTATATACTCGATAGTGGTAAATAACATCACAATGAAAAAATCACAGTTACCAGCCGTCAAATAGTATCACCGTGACTTTTTACGAAGGAACGACATTCCAAAATCACATAAGTTGTACCTCCATTCCACTAACAGTCTCTGTAACTCACATTACGACCTACGACGTATACTACATAGAAAATCATGCGCGATCTCCGTTCTGTAGAGAAACCAACAATAATTGGATAAGTATTTACACCGTGTAAATATTGTAAACAGTAAACTGCCTCCGTGGCCGAACGGTTACCATACCGGACTGCCACGCAGAGGTCCCCGGGTTCGATTCCCGGGCCGGGAGAAATATTTGTATGGCCTACATTTATTTCTCTCGTGAGTTTGGGTGTAATTTGTGGTTGTCTATGTGTGTGTCCATGGCACCCGCGACACAGGGTTTCCCTAGTGCGGGGCTATGTTGAGTGTGTGCGTTATTTATATTTATTATTTAAACACAAAAACGATACTTGTACAAAACGGATACCAGCCCGTTGCACGAAGTACCAAGTACTTGCACAAAATTGATCCATAATAAACACGCCGCATGGTCTTACTAACGATTAATGCGACAATCCTAAACCTGTAAAAGAGTGAAGGTTAAAATATTGCGGATCAACTTTTCAAATGGAATTAAACGTTACTTCAAAATGAATAATAATAACGACTATTAGAAAGTAACCGATTGCCAAAACCATATATCGTGATCCTTTATTTTTTTCCATCCTCTAAGATTGTGATGTACGAGTAAATGACAGGCGTGACAAAACCACGGTTATTTGTCGCGGTTATTTTTTTGTAACTGGTACGATAGTCACGGCGATAGAAATGTAACGCTTTTCCTCGTGTTTAGTGTACGGACCATTGACTTACAAACAAATGGACGACGGGTCTAATACAAAAACCACGAAAAAAATGTTCCAAGTCAACCTATTTAAACGTAGTGACATGTAAAGGAATATGAAAAAGCTAAAACGTTAGATTTAAATTGTAATGTCATCGCAGTACTGTCTAATTTTGCTTGCTTCGCTGTCAGTCGAACAAACGAAGACTAAAGCGTGAATGACGCTCTATATACGATTTTAACGCCCTATAAGTTCGGACACTTTTTAGCGCGGACCCGACGTCCATATAATTGTAAGTCAATGATACGGACGCACATATTTACATAATCTCGCGGTGCAATCGCATTGTATAGCGCAGGTCATCGCACACGGCATTCATTAAAGAATTGAAGAGCTCGCTCAGTTTAAAAAAAAATATATCATATTGCACAAGTGTTTATTGTTGTATTTATGGTAGTTTGAAAAAGAGTGCCTCGAATTCGGAAATATTCAGAATTTCATTTCTATACATTGACTTACAAATAAATGGACGACGGGTCTAATACAAAAACCACGAAAAAAATGTCCCAAGTCAACCTATTTAAACGTAGTGACATGTAAAGGAATATGAAAAAGCTAAAACGTTAGATCAGTCAGAGTCAGTCGAACAAATGAAGACTAAAGCGTGAATGACGCTCTGTATACGATTTTAACGCCCTATAAGTTAGGACACTTTTTAGCGCGGACCCGACGTCCATATAATTGTAAGTCAATGGTACGGACGCACATATTTACATAATCTCGCGGTGCAATCGCATTGTATAGCGCAGGTCATCGCACACGGCATTCATTAAAGAATTGAAGAGCTCGCTCAGTTTTAAAAAAATTATATCATATTGCAC